TTTTGGTTTCTCATTTATTTTTGCATACGATTCACGGGGGACATATCCTGGACCACCGTCTATATAATGATTAGAGCGTTTGCTCTCTGTTGTCAATGCAAATTGTTTCCATCCGTCTTTGTCGGCTTTATGCGCCATCATGATATGCTTACGTATGACTGCATAATCACCAAATGACTTGAAGCAAAGCTTGCAAGAATACGGCTTGTCACCTATAACAGGAAAGAATAAAATGTTAATACGCATAAACTTAATGGCTAACACTATCTTACAACTTGTATACTGTTTCTTAAATACAAATGTAACTCATGAATTTTTACAAACTATTTTCAATAAAAATTAAAAGAACAAAGGAATCATGATAGAAATAAATATACATGTACACATGAACATCGGCCACTAACTTGACCTATAAAAGAGCAAGGCTAAGAATAGGTAATATATGCCATAATTGAGGAAACGAAATAGTACAATGATTCAAACATAATTGAGCATTAACTTTATTAATGTACACTGTATCATTAATGGGAACATAAACGTTAAAAGGAAATTTTATAATAATGCTGCAGAAGAGTTCTGCCCCTTCGCCTACATAATATTTTACAACCTATATATTTTAGGCGGGCGAATACTTAAAAACGTTCATTATTCTCAGGAATACGACTTTCGTTCTGACAACACTTTTCTTATGAGATATAATATGTTATATCAGCCACTGACACTTGGCGTTGAACATGCATAAAATTTGTTATACGCCAATAAAATATTTGACTCGACTTGTTTTAACTTATTTCCACAACAATCAGGATAGGTTAAATGCTTACCTGTATGGATACGTTCATGGCGTAGAAGGGACTGTTTCTGTGTAAATTCACGGCCACACACACTACATATGTGATCTTTCTTATCTTTGTGTGTTTTCATGTGAATCAGTAAACAGGTTTGTTGGCGAAAAGCTTTATGACACACAGTACACTGAAATCTCCGCACAGTATCGTGCATGTAACGGTGCTCTTTTAAAGATTTGTCATACGTGAAGGATTTTCCACAAACCTCACATGTGTATGGACGGATTCCAGCATGAACATTGGCATGCTGCCTGTATGAACGGATCTGACTGAAAGTTTTACCACATGTAGGACAACTGTAAGTCTTCTTCACGCCGAGGTGCTTTGACTTTATATGAGAACTCAGAGAAAATTTCGTTGTAAACTCCTGCTCACAGATTTGGCATTTAAACTTTGGCTGAACATATCCCTCCGCGTGGGTTGCTGTATGCCTATCGTACACGTATTTTGATTTATAATTCTTATTACACACAAGGCAAACAAACACTTGTCCATGGTGCACTATCTTTTTATGCCTGGACAGATCTTTCTCAAAAACGAAAGTTTTCTCACATTCGTCACAAGAGAACATTGGGTTTTCTGGCAATGATCCGTTAGGCAGGAGACCATGGACTCTTCCCATATGTTCCGAGAGCCTTTTCTTTCTGTATCCCTGATAATCACATTCAGTACACTTATAAATCTGTTTCCCTTTCACTTCTGATGTTAACTTAACTTCTGATATCTTGTCAAGCTTATTTACGAGATCTTTATTATAAGAACTGTCATGTTTGATACTGTTTAAATCTAGTTTCTCAGCGTCTGTTCGCATTGGTTCTTCTTTTCCGTCAGATGTACTCCCTGAAACACATTAAAGGTAATTTTGTATAAAAATTAAAGGAATAATGCTTATCAAGTGTGTAATTCAAGAGATTTAATTATGCCATCTTTCAGCTCCTTTGGAAAAAAAAAGTTTAATACTAGAGCAAATTGCAAATTAAGTGAACACAGATTCCTACTAAAGTGTTAACCAGAAGAGCCATGCTATTATCTATTGCTACTTTTAGACAATTAAACAATTTCATTTCTACACAGGCAGCATTGCTGATAAGAACTGTAACCCATTTTTGTTATGAAATTGCATTTCTGATATCAACATTTCTATACAACATGTAATTCAAGTAATTTCAAAATGAAAATGTGTTAATTAAAAATTGAAAGTAAAAACTCTGAAATTAAGCAGTTGAAAGTAAAAACTAAATTGTGGTTCTATACGGGTAACAAGGGCAAACCTTTATCATGGTTTGCATTCAAGCAATGCATAACTAAAGTTCCAAACTATAAACAAATTTTATATATAATAATAAAAGGGAAACCTTTAAGAACACCCAACATAGCAAAAAACTGAAAATGTTACAGGTGAACCTTTTTACAGACGGTAGAGGTAATTACAAACTACTGTCCAGGCCACCTAGCACCATCTTAATCAGAATTCAAAATTTATGTATGGAAATGGTGAAATTTAGAATTCATTTTACATCAACATAAAATGTGATTATATGGCAATTATCATAGAATCTTCAATGTGACAATATCTGGCAATTCAATGAAAGTGATATGCTGTTCCCAAAGAAAAAAGAAGTGTGTGTGCCTTAAATACAAACAATATACAAGCCGCGTCATGACAAAACCAACATAGTGGGTTTGCGACCAGCATGGATCCAGACAAGCCTGCGCCTCCGCGCAGTCTGATCAGGATCCATGCTGTTCGCTATCAGTTTCTCTACTTGTAATAGAGTTGGTAAGCGAACAGCATGGATCCTGATCAGACTGAGCGAATGCGCAGGCTGGTCTGGATCCATGCTGGTCGCAAACACACTATGTTGATTTTGTCGTGACACAGCTCATATACTATCTGTTCCATGAAAGTGGTATACTGTTCCATAGAAAAGAATGTGTGCCCAAAATGAAAACAATGTACCATCTTTTCTTGCAGTTCTCTCCTCTAAACCCTTTACATCTGAAGTGATTGGCTTCTTTCCTCTGTTGTGTTTTTCTAATTTCTCTGATGGTTTTTTCCTGACTCTCTTGACAGATGGTCTTGACTTTTTCATCTTTAACTGTGATGTATTCTGAATAGTAAAAAAAACTTAGTAAAGACTGCAAATCATTTAGTTTTGTATAGGGAGAAAACTTTATACATTATCAATAACTCTTTACATGATTATAGATCTATATAATACCTCATTTATAAAGATCCAAACTAAATTATCACCAGGATACAATTCTGGGTCGATTTTTGGTTGAGACCTATTCATTACACTTACAGTTGTTCACTATGTAGTGCTTCATACCATGATGCCAAGTATATTAGCTTTAGGCAATGCAGTTTCACCCAAGAATATTTAAATGTGTTTTCAAATATAAGTCATTGTAAAATAAATTACCTCCATGCCAGTCATGGAGGTAATTTATTTTACAATGACTTATATTTCTGTTCCAGGAACAGATTAAACCCTATGTTTATAAAACTTTCTATCTATGCTACTGTCTATCTTTTCAGGCCACTATACGTATCATAAACATTACATGTATATCATAAATCAATAATCATCCAACATAAATTGAACTCAACCAAAATTTAAAGATGTTTCATCTGTGTACCAATAGTATTACAATTAATTATATATTCCAGAAACCATTATTCTATTTTTAGTAATTGTGTCCATGACCTTGAACCTAAGGGGTCAAAAAACCATTTAAAGCTACATGTAGGTCCCATCATAAGCTTGCTAAATGCCAAGTTTTATTCCTGACCCTAGTTATCTTCTTGAAGCCTTTTTTTCTATTTCAAGTAACAGCAATCCCAACAGGGGTCTTCATATAAGCTTTCTATATACCAAGTTTAATAACAATACCTAATCCCTAACTTTTGTTACTGTCAAGATACCATTTTTCTTTTTTCAGTAGCAGTGACCTTGACCACAAGGCATCCAAAAGTAATCTGAACCCAGGTCTTCATATAAGCTTGCTATATACCATGATTGATTTACAATATCTCATTCCTAACTATATTTATTGTCTAAGAAACCATTTTTTTATTTTTTGTAACAGTGACCTTGACCCCAGAGTGTCTAAAAGAAATATCATCTAGTGTTCCATATAAGGTTGCTATATACCAAGTTATGCATGTATACCTAAGCTTTTATATACAATTGTATATTAAGTTTGATTTAAATATTTCATTCCTAACCCTTGTTATTGTCAAGGAACCATTTTTCTATTTTTAGTAACAGTGACCTTGACCCCAAAGGATCCAAAAGCAATCCTAACTGGGGTTTTCATATCAGCTTGCTTTATACTAAGTTTGATTACAATTACTCATTCCTAACTCTTGTTATTGTCTAGCAACCATTTTTCTATTTAACAGTGAACTTAATTTCAGAGGGTCAAAAAAGCAATCGCCACTGGGGTCTTCATATACATTTAAGCTTGCTACATGCCAAATTTGATTAAAATATCTCATTCCCTACTGTAGTTATTGTCCTGAAACCATTTTCTATTTTCAAAAACAGTAACTTTGACCACAGAGGGTCCAAAAGCAATTCCAACAGGAGTTTCCAGTCTTGCAGACGTCAAATATTAATACTAAATGCCTAATAACTATGGCCTAGGGCATGTACTTTTCATAAGAAGATTTAAATGTGTTTTAAGTCTTAATTACAAGTCTATGTAAATTAAGTGACACCTATTTGGTTTCCCATACAGCTTATGATACACATGTTATACCATGCCAGTGCAAAGTCTGATAAAAATTATGCATTACATTGAAAACATCTTCCTATCTTAAAGAAATGGACATATTATATAAATTTCAATCAGGATTTAGAGGTGGTTTTTCCACGGACACTTGTCTTACACATCTATCTGATTTCATTAGGCTACATATGGATAAAGGTAATCTTGTAGGCATGATTTTAATGGATCTTTAAAAAGCATTTGATACAGTGGACCATTCAATCCTTTTAATGAAATTAGAAGCCATTGGTCTTAGTACTGATGTATTACAATGGTTTAGGTCATATCTGTCTGATAGGCAACAACTTGTTGATGTATCTGGTACTTTTTCCTCACATGAAAGGGTTACTTGTGGTGTTCCCCAAGGGTCTATCTTGGGACGTTTATTGTTTTTAATTTATGTAAATGATATGCAGGCTGTTGTTGTTAAAAATAAACTTCTTCTTTATGCTGATGATTCTGCTATTCTTGTTACTGGTAAAAATAGGTCATCTATTGAAAAAGAACTGACAGATGAACTAAATTCTGTCAGTCAATGGTTAATTGACAAATAACTTTCCCTTCACTTAGGCAAAACAGAGGACAATCTTATTTGGCTCTAAACATAGGTTAAAAACAGGTTCATCTCTTCATGTCAGTTGTAAAGGGACTGATATACAGTCAACTTCTAATGTCAAATATCTAGGTGCAACACACTTGATCAGTCTCTCTCCGGTGAAGCAATGGCAAGTTCTATTATTAAAAAGGCCAATGCAAGGTTAAAGTTTCTGTATAGAAAATGTGATTATCTCACTTTTCACACTAAAAAAACTTCTGGTTATGGCCCTCATCCAAATGTCATTTTGATTATGCATGTTGTTTCTGGTTTCCTGGGGTTACTAAATACTGGAAGGATAAACTCCAAGTCACACAAAATAAATTGATAAGATTTGTTCTAAATCTTGGTTATATGTCACATATTGATAATGAACACTTTAAAATTTAAATTGGCTACCTGTCCAGAAAAGAGTGATCAAATCATTCTATGTAATGTTTTTTAAAATAAAACATGGACTTGCCCCTGAATATATGGGAGAAAACTTTATTCCATTAGATTCTGTTCATACTTACAGGACCAGGTCAAGTGAAAGTGGTTGTTATATGCTACCTAAGGTCAAAGGTTTCGGATCAAAGTCTTTTGCTTACAATGGATGTGTATTGTGGAATAAACTACCCTCTTCTATTAGGATGGAATCAAAATTATACAATTTTAAATTATCTGTTAAACAAGCAATTATCATAGTATTGCGAGCAATCCATAAGTCCCCTACCGGTAAGAGCCCAAGCAACATTCTGAAGGGCCATTGGCCATTCACTTAGGTTCCTATTTTAAGTAAAATTTGTTGAAAAAGTTCTTTAAAAGTGATCACAGGAAACAGTTTTTTATGTACAGACAGACGGACTGAAGGACACTCTAAAGTTATTTTTTAACATCCCTGTTATCAAAATATAACATTTTTAAAAATCCTATCATGATTGAAGAAGTTGGAGTAAAAATTACCAATTTCTCAAAAAAAAAGTCTAAGTTCAAAAGGGGCATAATTCTGGAAATAGTCTTGCTAGAGTATTGAACACTCACAAATGTTGAGTGATAATAAGAAACATTTATATGAAGTTTGAAGTAGATACATTCAGAAAAGAAGTTATTAAAAAAAAACAATTTTTTCATGAAAATTTTAAGTTCAAGGGAGGTAATTCTGATAAATTTTGTGCTAGAGTTGTAAACCTTGTCACATATGATGGGTTGATGACAAGCAACTTATATTTAAAGTTTGAAGAAAAATAACCTTAAGAAATAAAGAACTTATAGTGAAAAAACTTAAAAACTAGAAATCAGAAATCTTGAAATTCAGTCTATTTGTTGCCATAGCAACCAGAATTTTCAACATAGGAAGATAAGAAAAGGATTGTGCATAATTTTCCATACTGCCATCTACCCATATGTCTAGTTTCATAAAACATATTTTCAGTACTTTTTGTGTTATCACGGATCCAGGTTATGTGTAAAATTTGCCATATTTTCCAGTCTATTTGTTGCCATAGCAACCAGAATTTTCAACATAAGGAAGAAAAAGAAAAAAGATGTGCATAATCTCCATACTGCCATCTATCCAATATCAAGTTTCATAAAAATATTTTCAGTACTTTTTGCGTTATCGCGGGATCCAGGTTATGTTGTAAAATTTGCCATATTTTCAGTCTATTTGTTGCCATAGCAACCAGAATTTTCCAACATAGGAAGAAAAGAAAAAGATGTGCATAATCTCCATACTGCCATCTATCCATATATCAAGTTTCATTAAAATATTTTCAAGTACTTTTTGCGTTATCGAGGGATCCAGTTTTGTGGACGGACGGACTGACGGACGGACAGACGGACAGACGGACGGAGGGTAAACCTAAAGTCCCCTCCGGTAAACCGGTAGGGGACTAAAAACATTTACTTAATGGGTAATTATCTCTTTTAAGGGTGTCTATCCTCTAGTCTTAATATTAAATAATTTTTATTAATTTATTTTAATTTGAAAATTTTATGTATACTTTTGTCTTTCTTTAATTTAAAACTGTGATAAGTCATTTTCATGCCTCTCTTTGTCAAAACCATCAGTATCTAAGGACCACAATGGAAATAAGAGATTTAGTTCTCTTTTTTGTGTTATCCTTGGTATGATGTTTTTGATATGGTGCATTTCTTTACATTGATATTTGTTTTTTATTGTTTTATCATGTATTGGATATGTTTTTACCATGTTATTTACTGAATACTGAAATAAATCTATCTATCTATCTAACATTTATACACATTGAGTAGAGGGCCAATTAATGACCATTCTTGTAAATTTTAAAGTTTGGTTAAAATGTATTATGTGTTTTAAGAGATGTTGTTTACACAAATTGTGGATACCAATGGACTACACAAGATTGACATCATGCTATATCAGTAAAAATACATTATACATGTAATTTATCTCATCAATTAGCTAAAAGGGAGACTTTCTGAACTATAAATAAGTTATATACCTTTCCTACTGATTCCTGATCCTGTTCCTTTTTGCCCTCATCTTGAGATATATTTTCAGCATCATGAATATTACCACCATTTCTTGTATCTGGAACATCATTATTGATCATACTTCCCTCATGCACTGGTACAAATCTTTCAAAAGTAGACTCAGCCTGTTCACAAATAGAGTTAATTCAGTTTATGATTGCCATTACAGTCAAACTTGCAGCGATTGATCTTGCTTATAAAATTTAACCAAGAAATTTACTTAGCTTACTTAAGGATATAATTCAGCATCAAGATGGTCATAAAGGCCCTAAATAGCACACTCGAGATTGGTCATTTGGACACACAGACGGACAAGGGCAAATCTAAATGCACCCCCATAAGTGGGGGGCACAAAAATTTTCAAACCAAATGGCACTAACCTGAGGATTCATATTGTCGTTATTGCTGAACACAGCAGAATGATCACTTGCAGCATTTCCATAGACTTGTTGACCTTTAAAGTTGGTTGCTATGGTTACAACTTGTGTTGTCATGGCAACTGTTGATCTATCTGAGTGTGCAATTTCTTGTCCAAGGCATCTGCACTGTTTTGAAAAGAAGCTTGTCCAGCAGAATGTTCATTAGAATACAGCACAGATTGGTTTCAGTTGCCGTGGCAACCTCTAAACTTTTCATAAACTCTTCTCCAGTTGGCATTGATTTCAAAAATCACTTGGATTATTCTGGATCATTTGGTTGTTTGATACAACAGTGTTATTGCTATTTATGTGGTTTGGCTTGGTGGACCAGCATTGGGAATACCTACATTGTCATGTTCAGCCTTTTGTTGCCATGGAAATGATATCCGTATTAGTGTTGTTTATAGCAGAGTTATTTTCACTATCTCATGTAACACAATACGGGAGAAGTCTTTGGCAGTAAATGTCTTTGATCCAACAGGCAGATCTGTAAAATCTTCAAATGAGGCTGTGCCGTCTTTGAAATCATGCATTTCCATCTATAAAATAATAACATATATTTTAATAATATTAATTAAGACATTAATCAGTCTTACATCAGACTTTGGTGTTTAAATTTGTTTGGTTATAACATCTTTAGTAACACCCTAGTAAAACTTGAAAAAAAAAGATTTAAAATCATATTTACAAATTAATTTAAATAAAGATTCCATACAAGCCTTCTTTTCATTTTGAAAGTGATAAATATGTTTGATATTTTATTTTTGCAGCCATCTGACAAATCTATTTTTTTTTAAAATGCTTAACTAATGAACCCTAACCTATTTAAATTTTCATTATCAGTCAATTTATTAGACTCTGACTGGTTAATTAATTAAAGCTGATTTAGCAATTTGAAAGTAATTACATGTTCTGATTCATTTAAAACACTGCAATCCTATTGGACAAAAAGAAATATTAATAACTTGTAGCAATTAGTCAATGTAACATTTTTTATTGCTGAACATAATAACAAACAAGAGCTGTCCATAAGTCAGTGTACTCTACTATTCTTAGTGCATGACATAGCCTGGGATTCGGACGTTGATATAATTTGCTTATTCATCACATACGTGCTATTATTTTACTCATTCATGTTTTTGATAGTATCAACTGTCAATTTGCGAACAGAAGCACAATAAGAATCGACAGACTGGAACCCTGGCTATTCATGACAGTACTGTAAAAAAGGGGCATAATTATGTAACAAGAGGGCCATGATGGCCCTGAGGTCGCTCACCTGTATATAGGCCCCAGGAGCGGGGTCAGTTTAAACCCCAGGGCTTTTATTTGAAACAAACTTGGTAGACACTCATTAGAAGATGTTTCACAATGTTAAGTTTTTTAACTACACACATGTAATGAAAAACAATGATCTCACCCGTCCCCTCCCTTGCCCCCCACCTCTCTCTCCCCCCCCCCCCCGGCAGGGGCCAATTTTCAACCCAAGGGCTTTTATTTGAACAAACTTTGTATACATCCATAAGAAAATATTTCATGCTAAACATCTAAGCTCTAGCTCATTGGGTTTTTTAAAAGAAGATTTTTAAGTTTTTACTAACACACATATAGTTAAAAACAATGACACCCCTGGGGCGGGGCCAGTTTTGACCCCAGGGCTTTTATTTGAACAAACTTTGTTGACGTTTACTAAAAGATGTTTCATGCTTAATATCTAAACTCTAGCTATTTAGGTTTTTTCAAAGAAGATTTTTTAAGTTTTAACTATATGCATATAGGGAAAATCAAGACCCCCCGGGGCGGGGCCAATTTTGACCCCAGGGCTTTTATTTGAACAAACTTTGTAGACACTCACTAGAAGATGTTTCATGCTTAATATCTAAAACTCTAGCTATTTGGGTTTTTTCAAAGAAGATTATTTAAGTTTTTGCTATACAAATATAAGGAAAATCAATGACCCCCGGGGCGGGGCCAATTTTGACCCCAGGGCTTTTATTTGAACAAACTTGGTAGAAACCCATTAGAAGATGTTTCATGCTGAATATCTTAGCTCTAGCTCTTTGAGTTCTTTCAAAGAAGATTTTGTAAGTTTTTACTATATGCATATAGGGAAAATCAATGACCCCCTGGGGAGGGGCCAATTTTGACCCCATGGCTTTTATTTGAACACACTTGGTACACACTCATTAGAAGATGTTTCATGCTGAATATCTTAGCTCTAGCTCTTTGGGTTCTTTAAAAGAAGAATTTTTAAGTTTTTACTATATGCATATAGGGAAAATCAATGACCCCCTGAAGCGGGGCCAATTTTGACCCCAGGGATTTTATTTGAACAAACTTGGTAGACACTCACTAGAAGATGTTTCATGCCAAATATCTAAACTCTAGCTATTTAGGTTTTTTTCAAAGAAGATTTTTTAAGTTTTTACTATATGCATATAGGGAAAATCAAGACCCCCCCGGGCGGGGCCAATTTTGACCCCAGGGCTTTTATTTGAACAAACTTTGTAGACACTCACTAGAAGATGTTTCATGCTTAATATCTAAAACTCTAGCTATTTGGGTTTTTTCAAAGAAGATTATTTAAGTTTTTGCTATACACATATAAGGAAAATCAATGACCCCCGGGGCGGGGCCAATTTTGACCCCAGGGCTTTTATTTGAAAAACTTATTAGACACCCATTAGAAGATGTTTCATGCTGAATATCTTAGCTCTAGCTCTTTGAGTTCTTTCAAAGAAGATTTTGTAAGTTTTTACTATATGCATATAGGGAAAATCAATGACCCCCTGGGGCGGGGCCAATTTTGACCCCAGGGATTTTATTTGAACAAACTTGGTAGACACTCACTAGAAGATGTTTCATGCCAAATATCTAAACTCTAGCTCTTAGGGTTTTTTAAAAGAAGATATTTAAAGTTTTTTCTTTCGGTTGCCATGGCAACCAGAGTTCTGCATGGAATTAAATTCTTTGAACAATTTTTAAAGGTGACCACCAAAGGAACATTCCTGTGAAGTTTGGATGAAATTGGCTTAGTGGTTTATGAGGAGATGTCATTTAAAGTAAAAGTTTACGGACGGACGGACAACGGACGGACGGACGACGGACGGACGGACGAAAAGCGATCACAAAAGCTCACCCTGTCACTTTGTGACAGGTGAGCTAAAAAGGTATGGGTATAATTTATGGGACCTGTGCCCATCATGTAAGACAGTCACACAGAACAAGTGTGTGATGTTTTAACCCATTCCCTTTTGTTGTTTTGGAGATACCAGCCTGCATGGAAAATATAACCTGAGTGTGACTGCAACCGACATGAGTACATTGGCTCTCCCATTCTTGGTTGGAATAGTCATGCTTAAAATTCCTTACTGTTCAAATGATACATAATCATTGTATCGTAGCTCTAAATATATTTTGACAAAATGTTCACAAACAGCATAACAGTTAACATACTTTTATCCCATTACTTTCACAAGGAATACGGTCATTGGCTACTTCTGGAGGGTTGAAACTTGTTTCTAATTCTTCAGAATTCTGGAAATTTCTGAAATAAGACAAAATACAAATGTACAGATCAGTAACATTCAGCATCCCTAAACATTGCAAACAACAACAACAACAACAACAAAATAAATACAAACAAATAACACAAACATAATGAGTTTAATAAAGGTTTAATAGTATTGGTCACATTGCAAATTTCAAACCTTTTTGTTGTGTAGGAAGAACAAAGATTTCCCTATGTATATCATGAAAATATTAAGGAAAATGAGGGCACCTATGAAGAAGCATTAAGCCACTGTAAGTAAGGCACAAAAACCTCACCGAGGGCACCTGAGAAGAAGCATTAAGCCACTGTAAGTTAGGCACAAAAACCTCACTGAGAGCACCTGGGAAGAAGCACTTTGCTTCTGTAAGTCAGTAGGTGACTGTAAGTCAGGCTAATGAAGGCACCTGAGAAGGGATGTCCAAGAATACACACTTAGACTAAAGGGCACAATCATGTCTTGGGACAGGAGTTGGGGGACAAATGTCCAAGACTTCTGTTCTTTGATGGGCTTTTATTTTCTCAGCTTTACTTGTGGAAGACCTCAGCTTACTTTTTGTACATTATTTAAGGTACATGTCTGTAACCATGTAGAGCCACCAACAAAACATTCACTTACAATTATCATGATTTGTTACCTTGGACCTCCCTTTCATTCCACTACACTAAACAGACTTCATAATATTTTCTTTATTTAAAAAATATTCCATTTAATCTTTTGCAGTATTCCTGATCAAACATACTAACCTTTGTTTACTTTCATTATCATTATTTGATACAGTTTCCCCCTGTAATTCTTTATCATTCCTAGATAGTTTAGTATCCACTTCCTGCAACCTTTTGTCAGGAACTTCAGTAATATTTCCCATCATCTCAGAAGCAGGAATTTGATTTAACATGGCCTGGGGATCATAGTCTCCAAACATACTGCTGAATGAATCACTGTCTGAGTCTGATAACTGTACTGGCCTTGTATTATTCACATTGTACTGGTTTTCTGAAAAGACTGCTTCATTAACATGTACTCTACCATTTTTAACATCTGTATGATTGTAAAAGTCTGATACATTTAAATGTCCACTTGTTGTAGAATTTTGATTAATAGCCTCATTGATACAAGGCACCAATCCTGGACTTTGAGTAGTCATTTTTGAATTTACAGTGTATGTTGTTACCATGGAGGTGTTAAATTGATTTGCCATTTCCATATTCATAGCACCAGATGAACAAAGTAAAGGTTGGCCATTGCTCATGAAACTGATAGTATTTTCTTTAGAACATCCTTGCATTCCATATCCATATCCTTGGGGAACATCTGAGGGCATACGAGTTGATGGTGGTATTGGATTTAACATATCCTCCACTGCAAATGTTTCACAATTATCTTCAGTTACTTTTGCCACTGGTAATATAGCCCCCTTAGGAATTCCCTTTTCCAATGGCTTTCCCATCTGATCTTTGTTCTTCTCTAAAATTTTCTTTAACTCTTCTTTTGTGACTTTCGTATTATTGTGCGACTTTTCAAAGTCTTCTAAGACAGAGTCAATGTCTAGGCTACATGCATCAGCGAACGTTTTATCTTGGTATTGCAAGTAGAATACTGGCTCAGGAACACCGGAATATGGACTCTCTTTAGCAGCATGTCTCCCTCGTTTTGGATTTCCTGTAAAAGATAAAGAATATATGAAATCAAACCTGTATATATTATATACATGTTAGTGCACCTGCCTTATTCATACATGTAAGAACTTACAGAACAGCTTTAACAATTTTTCCAAGTCCACCATCCCCGCAATTTTTTTTTACGGGTGGATTTTAACTGTGATGCCCCTGGACAGTTGTGATGTTCCGCTCATCATCTGATGCGGTGATGATTCATCACAGGATATAGTCATCGTGGATCACTGTGAAATATTGCAGGGACATTTCGCTCTATTGGATGACTATTTATCAATTTATTACATGTTCGTCAGTGAAAATAACACACGCAACATTTGTCTCCTATAATTTCTGAATGGCAGATATTTGCACACCTGTTTTAAAAATGTTAAAATGTTAATTGTTAGTTACTGCAATTAATTGCCGATTGTTGAAATTCCATAGCGCTAAAATGCACAAAACTAATCCTGAACAAAGAAGCATCCATAAATAAATAAAATATAATGTTTCCATTGTTAAATAATACGAGGGTTGTTCAAAAAGTAATAGGACTGCAGCTCTACTGTTCACATTTTTAAATTTACGTACAAAATTTTACATGAGACAAATATCGGAACATGTTCTCTATATACAGTGAAAAATTCAAAACAAAATGTAAAGAAATGAAATTTCTGTGAAATTTTCAAGTGACAAGGGGTACGAAACGCGGTGCACGCTAACAATACACTAATTGACGTTCATGACGTCGTAAAATAAATCGAAATTGTAATAAGCGTCATTCTTTCTGAAAGTAGTCTCCCTAGTCTCTAGGTGTATGAGTCATGTAACTTTTACTTTGCCTCATATGTGGAGATGAAGCAAGAAAAAAAGCGATCACATTCTTGTTCCACTGTTTAAAAAAAAACAAAATAAAATAAATGCCCGATAGCCGGGCATTCTCAGGGTTTTCTCTTGTGTTTTTTGAGTAACCTTGGAACTCAATAGGACTGAAAATGTTAAAGTAAAAGCAATTTATTTTATTAATTTACTCATGTCATTGTGTTTAAAACAATATGATTATATACAGAACAATAAAGATATTTCTCAATTGAAAAGTATCCTTTTCTACTTAGCACAGTCTATCGTTTATTAAAACAAGTTTTCGGGAAACACTACTAATTATTTCCGTTAACTATTGCATTAATTTATTGATTACACGTATATCTAGTTAAATACAATAAAAAAGTGTTTATAACAAATGTCTTATTTACAATCCTTTGGTTAAAACTAAATAAGTAGACCCGAAGCAGATACAAACAACGATAAACAGTTCGCGTACCGTTTACCGTGGATTCTTTTGTAGCGCTTTTACAATTGACGTCACTAACGTCACGTCAGTCTTACGGTCAGTTTTTAACTTTCATCCTCACCCTTTCTCGTTATCGATCTTGTATTTTCAGTTTTTGAATTGCTTGTGCCAGCTGAAAACAAGTGTCCTGATTGCAGGATAATTGTCCTTTGTTTATGTAATCATTTTGTGTGTATCTGAATGATTATAGTCAATCTGTTGGCAAAATTTAACGATGGCACACATTTTCTGTTTGTTAACAAATGTCATATTTCTACATCTAACGCTATGACCGCTGCTGTTCAAAACTTAATAGATAGGCAATTTCATGTCCGAATGACGTCAAATTTGGACATAATGTCACATTAATATATTTCAACGTATTGATGGAATACAGGGGAAAACAAATAGTTATTTATAAATAAATTAGAAGTAGAACTTACCTCGAATAACTATATTTATGTGCTGCGCCGGGTGCGTGTTACCATGGTTATTCAATAGCAAAGGAAAAGCGCGTTTAGCACAAAAAATTAAAAAACTTATGTTTGTTTTGTAGAAAACATTTTACGATTGCTTTATATATGAAAATATTCTAAATTGAATGAAATTTGAATACGCAATACTCCCAGTCCTATTACTTTTTGAACAACCCTCGTATACACAAAATTTACAAAGAAGATGACCTCTGACAAATGACAACTCAGCTCTACAAAAGAATCTGTCAATCTTTGATGTTTACACATGTGTAGTCCCTGCCACATCATCAAAACAAACCTGTCATCTTTTTTGTGAAAGAAACAATAACACATAATCAATTATTGCTCAAAAGTAAAAATGAAATGTTGGATGATAATCGTGCATTTTGATTGTGATATTTTTTTAACATTTTTATTACGCAAATGGAACTTCAAAACTACCGACTTATATACAGATTGTTATGGCTGTTATTTAAGCAATGGGTAAGTGTTATTGATTTTTTTCTAACAAGACTGCATTGTAATACATGTATGTGAACATTTATAGTAGATATTTAGCACAGTGAATCTCTGTAATTTTCCACCGGGGATTGCAGGGATGCTTTAACCAGTCCACGGTGATTTGTCACTGTGACTGACCATAGTATGTCCCCCACGAATTTCAACTCGCTGTTAAAAGTGTCCGCGGTGACAAAGCTGAAAGTGCAAAAATCGCTTGAGATGTGCTTATTGCACTTGAATCAAGATATTGTATTAATTTTAGGCAGAGTTGATATTTCAACCTTTAAAGTGAGCTTCTGACCCAAACAAATCTGGATATATACTGTATCCAACTCTAACCTTGCGTAAACCTTGTCAAGAGGATGTGAAAAAGAATTGCAGTTTGTGCAATATACATGTATGCATGTTTAATGCAATTATGTATTTATATGCATACGCAGACTTATGTTTTTTTATCTTACAGCAAGATTTTCCCGCAGAAAGTGCTGTGGATTAATAAGCATCTTCGATATGATGTTGCTTTGCCAAGAAGTATAAATATTATAAAGCAATGTCATATTTATTGGCCTACGTTTACTTGTTAACACTTTTACAAATTGCATGAACAATCAACTGCCTGTTACTGACCTTTTCCTCGGACTAAAAGTGGTTCTTTTTCTGTGATCTGCTCTGTTTCTGATGTCTGAGGAACTTCAACATTATTGTATTCATCAGGAACATTTCCTGACTTTGATAATGGAGTTATCTTAGTACCCGATATATCTGCCTTGATGTCAACACTCTCAGAGCTGTTTTCAGTAACCTTTTCATTAAATTTCAATTTTAATAAGCTTTTGTGTGCTTTCCTTACTGCTTCCCAATGGCCAACTATATTGAAAGTACTGTTCGATTTTGTGAATTTCACTCCAAATTCTTTTTCTACCCTCACAAATTTTGATGCTAATTTTTCGGGATCAAAACTTTCAACAAATGACGGGGTTAAACGTGCTACAGCGGCTGCAAAAACACCCATCATTTTCAATGTTAATTAACACCATTCATTGATGAAAAAATCTATTGAACTTTAAAAGGAAAATGCAATTTAGCATGTTTAATTTTTTTTATTATTTACACCGGAAGTAGAAATAAGAGGTGTTTGATTAGAAAGTAAGAACGATAACTTACTTGTGAAATAGCGGTATGTTGCTTAAAACGAAATGAACGGTAAAACTTAAACACGCAAGGGAGGTCATGATCTTTGCTGAGCTGCACCCATTTTGTATGGGAATTTTAAGATCCTGTATGCTGTAATTAAGGTTGTTTCCACACTTAAGTGAAATTTTAGCTATATATGTATATAATAATGCGTCTACAACAATTATCAAATATCGAAGAATATTTAATATGTACTGCAAATATTTGTCCACAATATATACGATCATTAAAATATATGCATTCATTTCTTACTGAAAACTAGGACTTTTGAAAATAAATTTCGAATTACATGTACCTCCCTTTATTAACATGAAATGTAAATTCGGTAATATCTTTACCTTTACTTTTTTTGGAACTTACACTACTGATAAATCTTCATTTGAGCATTATATTTATGATATAAAACCATAAAAAAATGAGTTACAGGATCTTTAAAGTTACTAGGCGCGCTGCCTCTTATGTCAACTATCTGTTCATAACATTTCAATGATTGCGTTGTCTGATCTGGTTTTGATAATTGAGCCGTGTCACGACAAAACCAACATAATGGGTTTGCAACCAGCATTGATCCAGACCAGCCTGCGCATCCGCGCAGTCTGATCAAGATCCATGCTGTTCGCTATCAGTTTCTCTCCTTGTTATATGGTTTGTAAGCGAACAGCATGGATCCTGATCAGACTGCGCGAAGGCGCAGGCTGGTCTGGATCCATGCTGGTCGCAAACGCACTATGTTGGTTCTGTCGTGACACGGCTCATAGTACCGACAGTTTGCGCCAAAACAACCCTTTCTGGCAAATCATTAAATTTTGATGGCGAAAAAAGTTTTAACATAAAGGTAGTTCCTTATGCACCTATCAATATTATGCACGCCCGGGGGGGGGGGGGCGGCGGGCTGACCCAGGGGAATTTGACATCTTCAAATGTTTGAAGTCTAAATCCCCACCCTAGAGACAACCAATTTTGTCTAAATCCCCACCCTTGAGCCTGCTTGGTGCATCAAATGCCCCGGGGGGTAGGGGAGAGGGTAAATATCTAATAGATCAATCAATAAATAAAACTGTTATCAGAAAAACAATGAAAAATATAAGTACAAAGGCTTATCATTAGGAAAATAATGAATCCAGATTAATGGGCCTCAGAAGTAAGGTAGGTATAGTCACTCCCAATGAGTATATATGTATCAATTGTAGTTTAATAACTTTGATAGTATTCAAATAATTTGACTTTGAAGATACTTATATTTTTTTTATAAAAATGGGTATTTTCAAGTAATAAAGGGGCATAATTCTGAAAATAATGCATCAAGGTTATAGACCTTCTTAGTATGGTAGTGGTAGTCCCACTAAATAACGTACCTAGTTTCAATTAAATATCTTTCATAGAATAGAATGTATGACTTGAAAAAACTTAAACCAATGCGGACACGGACACACAATCGATATCGATCGTATAAGCTCTTTAATATTTTACATTTATAGTTTAGCTACAAAATAAACCTACTAACGTAGTTTCTGACTCCACATGACCCAGTTTCTGTAGGGATGGTAAGCATGCTGACCAAGCTTAATTATAATTGAACCATATCTGTGGCCTCTTAGAGTGTTAAAACACTAAAAGTTGAGGACACCAGATTTGCGGAGACAGACATTCACCGGTTATGATCACAATAGCTTCGTGCTCACAGCTCAGATGAGCTAAAAACTTACAACACTTTAACTTCTTATTTTATTTTAACATTTAACACAAAAAGTCATTAAAAAAGACATTCTTCCTCCTCCTGCGGCCGAACCTGAACACTTCCACATTGTTTTTCTGAAATAGAGGGCATTTTTATAATCTTTAAGGTTTCAAATTTATTAAGTTTCATTTAAATTAGACCAAAAATGTTCTAAGATTTGACCTAGTGACTTAATTTTTGACCCCTCATGACTTTATTTTAAACATGTTGAACATTTACACTAACTTTAATGAAAAATGGGCCAAAAATGTGGCCTCTAAAGTGTTTGCATTCTTTTGCTAAAATTTGACATAGTCTTTGACCCCACATGACCCAACCTTGAACTTTGCCGAGATTTCAGCCAAACATTTTGACCAAGTTTCATGGAGAAATGACAATTATAGCTCAACACAAGGCTACAAAAAGAACTGGCATAATTTTCTTAAGCTAAGTTGCATAGTGTACTCACAATCTGGTGCACTTTCCTCAAGAGCCTGGATAGGAGCAGGAGCCTGGATGGGAGCTTGAGTCGGGATATATAGGAGCTTGAACCTTGATAGGAGCTTGGGCCTGGATAGAAGCTTGAACCTGGATTGTTTAAAAATCAATAATTTAGTAGCACAAGTTAACAAAGATTTCCAACATATATTTTTGATAAATAAAACAGAAGGTTGTTTTTAATTCTATTGGAATGAAAATGGTACTGAATTTTTTTTTTTAAAACACATTATTTTCTAACAATTCTGCTGGTACTAAGTCTATCAAACTAATCTTGCAATTATGGTGGGGAATCACGTGATATGGAGACCACATGACATGGTATTGCAGCAATTGATAATATTTCAGATTCTGGTGTCCATGTGAGAATTTTTGTCAATATCTTTGTTTAACAGAAAATATTTTGGAGTATGCGTAACTGACAGGACTTGCAGTAGCCCCCAGCGACATTATAAACAATATTGTGCTTTTTCAGGAGAATTTTAAGTTTAAAGGAACATAATGCTTTTGTGAGTAAAATTTCAATTACTGAAAGAACATATCATACTTATCCTCTTATTGAAGAAAATGGCTCATTTCCGCATTACTATTCTTCAGAAATTATTTTTTCATCCAAACATACCTTCAAATTATTACATGAGCGCAATATACGAGGGTTGTCCCAATATTCTGTGACAAGATTGATTAAAAGCTAAATAAAACAGGTACGAATTTGATATTTTAATATGTTATAAACCCATATAATCTAAACATTTTCACAAATTTTCATAGATAAATATCAACAAACAACAAAAATATGCCATAAACACCATGGCAACTAACTGAATCGCGGCGCACGTCCAACGTCAAAGACGGCGTTAAATCTATATAAGGCGCCTTTCTCAAATACTCTCAATGGCTTTCAACGCAATAATGGTACCCATAAATCGTCAATTTCTGACTTAAATCATGTGGTTGTTAATGTCTGTTGAATGTTTGGAAGGCATACATTAATTTTTGCTATACGCAAACTTCCAGTCTCGTTACTCCTGTTTTTAGCTGTAGGAAATAGGCGACGAAGATCGGTCTTCCTATCTGTGTTTTCCTTATTTTCGCTTTTTGTAGCGCAAAACTCTGGTTCCGTTCATGCCTTTTGTACACAATTGCTCAGAATATGTTGCTAAACTGTTATATTTGGTATATTTGTTGAAAATCGTTACATGTGTCATCTCGAAATAGTCATGAAACCTGAATGACATGTTCACTGCGCCGCAAATTCTTCGAACGTCGCCATTTTAACTTTCCTATTTTATATGAGATATTTTCATTTATTCGTATCTTTTTCGTTTTTTAAGTTATTTATCTATAATTTTCAGAGATGATTTAAACATAGCAGCAGAGGAAGTCAACGTGACATTGTGCAGACACATCATCAGATATTTGAAATATACGTAATTAATTTCAGCCTATTCATAACAAAATGTAAATTATTTGACGTGCGCCGGCAACTCAAACCAATGTCGTTAATACTGAAAATTTCTAAGTAACTAGGGTAAATTTTTTGTAAATGATTTGTTGTAATGTTAAATAATAAACTTAACGGTTATATGTGTGAATTATTTTCTATTGGCGTTAAAAATGAACCGGCTATAAAATTTGTCACGGACTTTTGGGACAACCCTCGTATTTATAGCGTATTTTGAAGATTTTCTTTCATGTCTTTAAGAAATCAAATGCAAATTTTTACATCAGTATTCTACTTGATGTCATTGGTGTGAAACTGAACACTCTTTTATTTCAAATAAAGTTTACAAATGCATAATGGGACTTTAAGATACCATGTTACGTCACAGGTCACCATATCAATGATTCCCCACCATGTCAATGATAAAATACACATATTTAGACCACAGAAGTGCAATACCCCTTATATGTTATTTATGGCTTTCAAAAAAGAGTTTTTTTTTGCCTCAGACTCATTTAATGTTTAGGCAATCATTTATGAAATTCAACTCATGATGTCATTGTGCCTGAATACCTTTTTCAAAGACCGTGTCTCGGACGCCTTTGCCTTGCCCCTTTTTCTGTTGGCAGAAACACTCGTCAAATGGTCCAACCAAATGATCACCTGTTTAAATATAAATCAACATTTAAATACATTCACATTTATCAGATAAGAACAAAGCCTTAACATAGTTTCTGCAGATTCAATTTACTTTTTATTAGAGCAAGTCACGACCGTAAAGCAATACAAGACCAATGAAGATGAAACCGATAGCCAAGATTCAAAGCCTCGTTATGACAAGCAGTTGAAACAGTTAATGATAATAAAACAATGATGGAAATACATCGGAAAAAAGGATATTATTTTATTTAGATCTGTTTTGACATACATTGTATTTAAATGCATTTTCTTACTTTATTAAAAATCATATTCTAACAGAGACATAGATAACAGAGATAGGCTTCTTCCTAGCCAGTTAAAATATCATGTGTGCCTGCTAAACTTAAAACTTGTAGCAAGTAAAACTTATTAACCAGATATCAAAATCAGTAAAATAATACATTTTCTGAAAACTTATGCATTTGTCTATTGCTGCAGCCTGCAGGTAAAAATATTTACAGTTCCCATTAAAATAAATGTTACATTATTTTTCAAAGAGAACTTCTTGATATTTTTTGTTACAAAACTATTCATATGACCAAAAAATGGCTCAGTGGGTATGTTCTGCCATGTTTTTCTA